CAATGTGATTGTTCCCAGCGTATTACGGGATTAAGCACAGCCAATCAGTGCCCCTTTCAGAGAATCTACAGCTACTGAGATAATTATGCTTCCATTCTGAGTCATATACAATGGGTAGCATGTTAGCCTGGAGCTGCTGGAAGATCACTCTGAACCACATGAAAAGTCTACCTGAGAAGGAAGACACTGTAAGGTAAAGCAGAGTGAGAGATGGAGAAATGTGTCACTTGAACCACAGGTTCCACATGAATGGGGCTCACCTTCTGGACCTACCCCATTGTGTGAGTCAATAAATTATCTAAATTAGTGAGAGATAAGTTTATGCTATTTGCACACGAATCCTGATTAATTCACTGATATATTATTGGTAAGTATATCTCTATAATGCTGGTACTCAGCTTATTATAATAGCATAAGTAATTAATGAATTTAAAATATTTCTTGAAATTGAAAGTGTTAGCCACTCAGTTGCATCTGGCTCTTTACAACTCCATGTACTGTTATCCTGCTAAGCTCTTCTGTCCAGGGAATTCTCCAGACAGAATACTGGAGTGAGTTGCCATTCCCTTCTCCAGGGGATCTTCCTGACCCAGGGATCGAACCTAGGTCTCTCGCACTGCAGGCAGATTCTTTACTGTCTGAGCCACAAGGGAATCCCCATAGGTTCTTAAATATCAAGACATTAGAAATAAGCAGCCTTTGGTGTGCAGCACTGTGAGCTGTAAAAAATGGCAACAGGGCTTTCCTGGTAGTACAGCGGTTAAGAATCTGCCTTCCAGTGCAAGGAATGCAGTTCTATCCCTGGTCGGGGAACCAAAACATCACAGGCTGCAGGAACTAAGCCCGCCAGTGTCACAGAGACCCAGAGCAGCCAAGACCAAACAGTAAATAGAAAACAACTGTCTAAGAAAAAAACAAAAAGACAATCAATGACTTCAAATCCAAGCCCTACCACTCGGTGTCCTTAGGCAAGTGATTTAACCTTTTTAGTTTCTCACTAATACAGAGACTAAAACAAAATGCTTATTAGAGGACTGCTGTGAGGATCAAATAGCACAATGAGAGCTCAAACACACCAATATGTAGTACTATATTGTATTGAGTCCATGTCTATATTAACAGAGGAAAAAGCACGATAAAGGAATTTTCTCATTCTGACACATCTATGTATGCTGCAAAGACCTTACAACTTTCTTCTATCTTTTGCTTTTTCATGCCAAGAAATAAAAAGTACAACTAACAGTATGACTGAAGAACACTTGGGAAATGCGCACAGAAGTTTGCATATAATTTCTAAAATTATACAATCAATTCTTGGTTACCCGCCAGAGCAACTGCGTAGCTTACTGTTCTGCTATCCTTTTCCTAGATCCAAGTCCTTGGCTCACCCCACACCTGCATTCTATAAATGCTTTTCACATCCTTTATCTCTTCCAGTCTCTATTACAACTTCATTACATGGGCAGGAATCATTACTCTGTTTTACAGATGAGAAACTGAAGCTCCAAGAGGTAAGTGATAGCTAATTAGAATGGCAAGAAGTACAACATTTCAAACTACTCTGCTGCTGATCCTTACCTCTGATTTATTAGTCACGGAGGTGCCTAGATTTTTACTTCCCTGCTCCTGGATTTTCGCTGGTTCTGGCGTTGTTTACAGTATTCTGTAAGATCAGCTGTGACCACGCTTTGCCAGATCCCAGTCTGCCTGTGTACTCATCAAATCCTACGTGCTCAATATTATTTGGTACTGGCCCTGTGGTAATACCTAATCTGGAAAGTATTTGTTCCCAACAAGATAATGGTATAGAATTTAAGCCAATAATTACTTTTGTAACACCTCAGTTAATATTATGACATAATTTGGCCAGCTTTTCTTTATATTCAATATTACTTCTGTTCGTACACCAGCAGGTAGGTAACTCATTTGCTGTCAGGGCTTCTGTTAGCAAACAGTACAACTCCTGTGCCTCAAATGCAGAAATGAGCTGGAAAAAGATGCTGAGAAGAAAGGACAATAAATGTGCAAACTGATACTTGAGTCATCTACAAGAACAAGATCCTACATGAGCTGGTTACCACATCATTTTGAGTGGCAGGAAATTTTCAGTGCTTAGACATTTCTATAGCCAAGTAAAATGTAATTCTCTTTTGTGAAATGCTGTATCTCTTCATGCTTTAGTGACTGGCCTAAGTTCCATCTCCTCTAAAATTTAATTGACTAGTCAAGTCCACAGTGATTCCTTCTCCTCTGAACTTGGAGACCCTGATTTTATACCAAGCTAACAATTCAGGAAAATATATGATCATTTTCCCAAGTTCATATAACTCATCTCCCCTAGAAACTTTCACGTTGTTTGAAAGATATTTTATGTTTCGTCTTTTACTTTCACATTACTTACCATGTATACTGTAGTTTCCCAGCAAAAGTTCCTTGAGCTATTGATAGCCATTCTTCTGCTTTCTAATACAAGTGATAATTAAACATTCACAGCCTATAGCTAAGAAGATTACATCCACATAGAAGGCCAGCATATTTGCATGATACCAGAGACCAAGCATGATTTGTTCCACTTCTTCAAGCAAAGTACTCTACTACTCCAAGGAAAAAAACATTTTAATGTGAAGGCTATTTTCCTAATTTTCCAAAGATTCCTGCAGAACAGGAAAATGTCTGACTGGCTGTAGAGATATTTCACATTTGCACTGTGGTTAACAACATCAAGTTATTTTTACTGGATTTCTAGATTACAGGTATCAAACATAATGCTAAGTGCATTTAAGGGTAATGTTCCCCGGCAAGTTCAGGTCACAAGGTTATTTGACAATTCCCTCTTTTCTGCTTCCTGGGTAGGAAAAAGAATTACATTTCCCTTTTTGCCTCTGTTGACTTATCCTAAATATATTTCATTAGTCTTTCAGCTACGTGGTAGTTCTTTTGAAGGTCAAAGATTCCATTAAGATATATCCACCTAGCTATAATTTCAGCTAATGAGACAATGTTAGTCAAAGTCAAAACTACAATGAGGTACCAGTCAAACTGGTCATCATCAAAAAGTCTACAAATAATAAATGCTGGAGAGGATATGGAGAAGGGGGAACCCTCCTACACTGTGGTGCGAATGTAAATTGGTGTAGCCACTGTGGAGAGCATTATGGAGGTTCCTCAAAAAACTAAAAAACAGAGCTGCCATATGATCCAGCAACCTACTCCTGTGTATATACCCATACAAAACTATTATTCAAAAAGATAAATGCACCCCTATGTTAACAGCAGCACTATTTACAATAGCCAAGACATGGAAGCAACCTAAATGTCCATCAACAGATAAACAGATGAAGAAGAAAGTATATATTATACAATGGAATATTACTCAGCCATCAAAAGAATGCAATAATGCCTCTTATAGAAACATGGACAGACACAGAAATTATTACACTAAGTGAAGTAAGTCAGAGAAAGACAAATACCGTATGATAATCACTTACATGTGGAATCTAAAACATGATAGAAATCAACGTATCTGTGAAACAAAAACAGACGCACAGATATAGAGAACAGAACTGTGGTTCAAAGGTGGAGGGAAAGTAGGGGAAGGAAGGAATGGGAGTTTGGCATTAGGAGAGGCAAACTATTATATATACGATGGATAAACAAGGTCCTACTGCGTAGCACAGAGAGCTATATTCAATATCCTGAGACAAATTATAATGGAAAATAATATGAAAAAATATATATATAAAAGTGAGTCACTTTACTGCATAGAAGAAATTAACACAACATTGTAAATCAATTCTACTTCAATAAAATTTAAAGAAAGTTGCAGCCAATAGTAATTCAAAGCTTTGATAATGGATGGATTGTGCCATTTACAATGAACTGTAGTGTAAGAACTAATTATCCAGGCAGTTTATACATGCTTTTTTGCAATATCTTTACCACCATGTGTAATAACAGGTATCAAACAGATATTTATCTATGAATGGATTTGCCTTTTTAACTGGTTAAAAAGTCTCAACAAACTTAGAACTAGATGCTGCCTGAAAACTAAAAAGGAAGCACAACTAAGGGTTAAAGAATGGATGCTCAGACCATTTGAGTATAAATTCTGGCTCTGCCATTTACCAGCTTTGTGATTTTGGTGGGGGGTTCACTCCTTTTGCCTCAATGTCCTTGCTTGAAATCTAGATACAATAGTAAAATCTATCTTAAGGATTTTTTGGGGTGAGAATTAAATAAACTCCAAAGCATGTTCATGAGGAACTCCTTCCTGAAACATGCATGCAGTGAGCCATTTTCTCTACCCTGACTGGCCCCGCCACTTCTTTTTAAACTATCTATCACTCTCCCTTTAAGAAGTAAATATTTATTAAGGAGAAATTAGTTTTAAGTAATGCAACACTGCCAAGGTAATCTACCCTAAAAAATCAGGATATATATAAGAAATTATACATGAAAGTTATCTAACACTGAATAAATAGAAATAATCTAAAGTATAACACTAGGGAAATGACTAAATAAAATATTATATACATGCTCTAAAGTCACATACAGGAAAATGGTATACAAAGAACTCAGTATACTAATAAATGTAATGTGATAAGTAAAATATCAGTATCATAAGGTTCTTGTGTCCATTTTAAGTCAAAATGCTTAAAACGTAAATAGGCATACAGTAAATCAAAGATTACTGTTAGTTAAGATCAAGTATTGCCATTATATCTATGTATAAATATTCATAAGTTTTTAGGAAATAAACCAATGATGAACAGTTTCTCTTTATTTCATTTACCTCAAATTTGTATTTCTCAATTTCTCTACACATCAGTAGATATTTTTGTCTCCATTTCCTTTACTTCTCAACCCACCTCAATCAATTTGTGCCCCTACTCTGGTGGGGCAATTTGCCATGAACATTTACCAGTTTAAATTTCACGACTGAATTAATAATGTAACATTTAATGAGGAAATCATTATCACTTCTGAATAGGAGATATTACCTTCATGAGAGATTTCCTTCCAAGGATTCGGTGGATACATGAAAGCTGCATTCTGGATTTGGTCGTGAATGTCCTCATCTTCATTAAATGGGAACGTGCCACTTAAGCTTACATAGATGATAACCCCAACGGACCACATGTCTAGCGAGCGATTGTAGCCCTTGTTCCTTAGGACCTCAGGGGCCAGGTAAGCTGGGGTGCCCACCACTGACCTCCGGAAAGACTTCTCTCCAATGATCCGGGCAAAACCAAAATCACAGAGTTTCACCTGTTGGTAATAACGGTTTGAAGATACGGTCAGGTCGCAGATTTGTGGGTCAGTCTGTGTCCTGGTCCACAACAGCTAAAAAACAACTATAACACTTTATACATATTGTATGCATTTCTCATGGTAGAACTAATAGCTATTTTCCATTTTATGTACTTGAGGGTAGCAATTTATGAAAAGACACAAAAGTATATTTTTATTCATCAAAATATCATCTGAACATTTTTCCATCCTCCTCCCTAGAACTGAGAGACAAATGTGAAAATACGTATACATAAAAGTAGGTTATTCTGTTTTATAAGGCAGGAAAACTTCATGCAAAGTGATGGATTTAACTCAAGGACTTATTACAAATAAAGGTTGAAGGATAAGCACATGCCATCATCCCCAATATCCTAAAAATTAGCTCTGCATGGACAGGAAGCCAGGATCCTTCGGCATCATGAAAGCAACACAGAACAGCCACCGTGGTCAGGTCACTTCAGACATGAGGGTCTCTGGAAAGAGATCCAGTTGTTTTGCATTCTCTGAGTTGAGGAATAAAAGAAACTTCCATCTTCATCCCTGGGAACAACACTGAGCTGCAGTATCCTGCCTACCATTAGACAGCTGGTAGCATCCCTGGGACTCTGAAGGTGTCTCCCTCTCAGGCCAGTGCTCCCAGCACTGACCTGGTGCTGTCTGCTCTCCAGGATGTCCTCACCACAGCCGCAGAAGCAGAATGAGAGGCCTGGTGTGCATTATACTATAAAGGCAGGCTGATCCGAGATGCAGAACGAGAAAGGCAGTCCCCAAAATACAAGACGGTAACAAACGGATGACAACAGGCAGTGAAAGCTTTGAGGAGAAAGGGTGACAGAATGCAGCAAGGGAGCCAGTGATGCTGTCGGCTGCCTTTTTGCTGAGAAACGATTTCATACTTGCCTGAGGGAAAGGATCAGCTGATGCTAGCAACACGTTTTCTGGTTTGAGGTCACAATGAACAATATTTTTAAAGTGTAGATGCCGCAAAGCCACAAGTATCTATAAAGGAGAAAATCATCAACATCAGCTTATTTTAATCTAAAAGGTTGTTTCAAAATGTTCTCTACTAGGACATAAATTTAGAGGGTCAAGAGAAAACTCAAAATGAACAGTGACATTTCTTTACGCTTCAGACCCTGAAATAAGCTAGCATGTTTCTAAGGAAACTTTATTGGAGAAAGTACTATATTATGGTAACCAGATGGCAACCAAAACAGGTAAAGATAATAGAATTCAATGATATCTAATAGGATACACATTTCTGAATATTTGCAAAGATTCGGGACTCAGCCACTGTGCATTTTAAAATTTCATGAGCAGTTTTAATACCTGGGCCTGTACACACATTATTCATTTGGTACTGGCCTAAACCCTGACTACTATAGATATAAATTAGATAATACAATAAGCCTTTTCAACTTTTTTTTTTTAGTGTAATTCAGACTCTGGAGGTAAGGACTAAACAACAGGGCTAGAAAGCTCTAGTTAAACAGTGATAACATCCAATATTAAATATTACCTTTTTTATTTCCTGACTCTAATTGATTTCTTACCTGAGTAATTAAAAACTTCGTTATGTGCTCTGGCAACCTGCCCTTTTCACTTGACAAGATCATCTCCAGCATGTCTCCATGGAGTTTTTCCATAACAACAAACACTCTTTCAGGCGTCTCAAACATACACTCCAAATTTACAACACCAGGGTGATGAAGGTTCTATTAAAGATAAATAAAGCACTTGAAGAAAATGAGTTTTTTGATACTGTTTGGCAAGCTCACTGATTATACAAAACTGTTCAAGCTTAAAGCTATGGAGAAACCCACACTTAAGATTTTTAACACCTCTAAATTCCACATGTGCTGCCTTATATTTTTGAAATTCTAATGTCTCCAAAAAATGCATCTTGACTTTCTGTGCACAGTGAATATTTTTTTCTATGCTATAAATCAAAATTCCAGCACAGTGAATTGCTAATTATGTTTTAATTAGAATATCATATTGAAAAATCTGTAGTTTCTTAGGATCATCTCCAATATTAAGTATGCTGTCCTAAATAAGTTTACTAGGCCATCCATACACACTTGATAGAAATTTAATGTAGACAAGATGAAATACGTTCATGGAGTGCATCTGACGGCACTGATGAAGCACATTAATCGAAACCTTTTGGGGCTGCTGTGCTCTCGGAGGCTGCTCTAGTTTGCTACAAAAGCTCTTACACAGAGTAAAGATACCCGTGAAAACAGCAAATATTACTGAGCCCCTGTTTTGTTCAGGACATCATGCTATGTGGTAGTGCTTCATAGTTCTCAAGCACTCAATAAATATTTCCACAATAAACTAATGGCCAATAATGATAGGCTGCATTTGGCTTGACATGTTAATTGTCACACATGTCAAGTAAAATTACTCTTAACATTAGATGGGCCCTTGTAATGATGCTTAACTCTGAATGTTGGTCTGGGGTCGTCAACAAAAGCCTTTGATCATTTGACCTTTTTTTTTTTTTTTCCTGCACACAACAAAAAATCCTAACATTAAAAGAACTATTACATATTCCACTAATATTTCAATGAAAAATGGGGAAAAAACAATCATCTTGAATAAAAATTACTGAAAGAAAAAAAAAAAAAAAACACGGACTGACTTAAATGTGTTTTAACAGTTGACCACAGGGAAGAAAATAAATCCTTTATTCCAAGGGAAAAAATCTTAGTCAGCCATAAAATTAAATGCAAAATGAAAATTTCACAAATTATTGGCAACCTGCAATGGCTTGGTCTTCAGACCTCCCAGACAGATGCTGGTGGTGAACAGTGGGGGGGATGTGAGTGTATCTGCACCGTCACTGCCCTCCATGTAACTCCTCAGTACAGAGAGCCTGGCACTGACCCAAAACGGACATGCACTATGGTTGGCAGTAGCTCCCATGATGAGAACCTGCCTCGCTGGATGAGAATCCCGTCCACTACTCTGGCAATTCTGCTCGCTGCCTTAGACATCAGATGAGACTTTAATATGTGCTTATTTAATTTGTATTTTCCCAGAATGTTCAGACCAAAAGTATAAAATGAATTAATGAGACTGTTTTTTGTCAACGATTTCCCCATGGACTCTGAAGGACTGTATAAATGTCCTCTAATAGCTTCTATTCTCCTCTTATAGTCCTCTAATAGGACTTTGAATATACTTAGGTATGTATTTTAGGAAATAAAGTATATTCAAAGAATTCGTTGAATTAAAGGTCATGTGAACACAAATGGTAAAAGAAATATGTCTCGGAAAAGTTTCAGCTGCTACATTCGTTGTACTTGGTCCTTGACTTCTCACATACAAAACCTTCACATTTTACAGGTTTGCTAAAGAATATATTGAATGGTAGCTGAAAAACCTTTCCAATAGCAAAATGACTTTATTTTTCCTGCATAGCTGATATATAATAAGTTGATACTTTTTGAGTTCATTATGTATGGTTGAGACAAAGGATTACAGATGCCTACTCAAAAGCTATAGGTTTTTGCACTCAATAAAGTGACCAAACTTGCCTTTACATTCGACAATAACAAAAGAAAGCAGGATATACAGAATCATGTTCATTAACAAAAATCTCTATACTGATAAGAAGTTAATTTACTGAGCCTAGAGAAGATATTTGAAGACTAGAGAGGGAAAAAAAATAGTTACTATATTGTATCATGTATCATTCATATTGCCTTTTTAACACCTTAAGATCAACTCTAAAATGAGCTTTAATCAAAGTAGCTGATGTGACTTGTTCACAATTTTAACTTTTTATAGAAACTATGAAATAGTTTTTCAAAATTTTCCTTTTAAAGTCTAAAGTAAATTAATTAACTTAAAACTGGTTTGATGATTATAACATCAACTATGGCATAGTAGTGTTCAGAAAGAACTTTTGTTAACTTCTCAGGCCTAGCTCAGGGATTTGGATAATAAATTTCATGGCACAGTAAGCTACTACAGGACTTTGTGGCCATCTGTTTGTTACATTTAAGAAAACTAATTTTCAGGAAATGAAACATTTGGTCAAATATAGGAAAGAATAGTGTCCATTCACACATTACAGATTGATGACATATCCATGGGGTGAATATGAGTTATTTTGAAGTCTGGGAGGAAATGCCATTTGGAGATCAAAACAAAAATTTTCTGACTCAAACTGCCTAGAAAGTTCTTATATAATTAATGGAAGCTAGTCATTAAAAGCAAAATATTTTATAAAAGCAGTAATACTTTATAAATAACATTTAATTAAAATTTTTAGTTTATACATGTATTCTATTTTATATTATGCATTTTAGATTTGCATTGAGGGTTATTTTACTTTAATCTTTAAATCTAATAGTGTTGCTTTATTGTAAACCTAACATTGTGAATTCATTCCCAAACATCTAGCTGTGATCAATTAATGTCATGTTTTCCCCTTCTTCTATCTTCAGGATTATTATACTCAAACATATGAGAGGTAGGAAAGAGAAAAATTAGATTCAATATATCTATTCAACTGGTTATTTAGGAGTCAGCCTTAATGCGGGAACTTCTAACTAGTTTTCTATCAAACGACTAAGTGATTGAGGTCATACTGAGACAGAAAGGAAGAAAATTAAAGTGAAGAATCCAGGATCTAAGTTCTAAATGGCACACGGAGCAGACAGAATACACCAGCACAGCGGTGTGCAGCGGCGAGGACGGGAAGTGAGGCAGAGCAGCAAGGCAGTGGTCACTCCTGAACTGAAAGAACACACCATCTTATACATTTTCTAATTCCAGTCTTTTAAAATTTAGGCTTCACTTACTGACCCTAGAAACCACAATCACTTAATAACTTATGAAGAGCATATAGCATGGAACAATACCTTGATAGTTGCTAAAAAGTCAGTGTAGAGAGGAGATGATTATAAGAAGACGTGTGAAAGATAATACCCAAATTAATGTGGTCAACTCAGCTATCTCGCCTAAATTCTCTCTTTAGTTTGATAACCAGAAATTTCAAGTGGAAGAAAAGAAGATTTCCTTTTGCCTTTCACCTCAAGGGAGTTTGAAGTGTGAGGCCCACACTTAGGCTTCTCAGTTGTCCTATCTTCCTAGGTGGCTCCAGTGGTAAAGAACCCGCCTGCCAATGCAGCAGATTGAAGAAATGCAGGTTCAATCCCTGGGCCGGGAAGATCCCCTGGAGGAGGACATGGCAACTCACTCTAGTACTCTTGCCTGGAGAATCCCATGGACAGAGGAGCCTGGTGGGCTACAGTCCACAGGGTCACAGAGAGTCGGACACGACCGAAGCAACTTAGCATGAAGTAGGCACGCATCTTCCCTCATGGGCTTCCCTGACGGCTCAAAGGTAAAGAATCTGCCTGCCAGTTTAGGAGACACGGGTTAGATCCCTGGGTCAGGAAGCTCCCCTGGAGAAGGAATGGCAACCCACTCCAGTATTCTTGCCTGGAGAAACCCAGGGACAGAGGATTTTCTTGGGCTACAGTTCGTGAGTTGCAAAAGAGTTGGGTGTGACTTAGTGACTAAATAACAACATCATCTTCCCTCATGCTGTATTTTTAAACTTCAGTGATGACAGAGGTGCTTCTACTCTGACGTCAACAGGTGAGGGCTGTGTTACACCACATGAGAGCCCTCCTGACTTAACATGGGGTGGGGGTCATTTGGTTGTTGCATGCAAATGTGTCCTTATTTCATGTTTGGTTGACAAAAGCCTACAATTGATAAACAGTGTCATACTCTGGTAGTTATCTTTTAGGAGGTAACATTTTGGGAATGCACACTGATAATATCTCAGAACCAATAAAGTTAACATATAATGTCATAGGAATAAATGCACCAATATTACTTCAGTAAGACCAGATGTAACAATCCACCCTCCTGTTAATCACTGGCTGACATTTAGCTCAGTGGAGTCATAACCAAATTTAACCTATTAGACTCTGTGAACTTAGAAATGACCTGATCATTCCTGGTAAAAGCAATGTAATATTATATTTTTGTGTGGCATTAATTAGCTCAGACTGACCCTGGTTAAAATAGTTCAAAATTTTGTGGAAGAAATAAGTTGAAGCATCTCCGTTGGCTGTTAATATAATACATATATTGTGTCCAGATATCAAGAAGGGGAGTCAGCTTTTAGATGGCTAGCTTACAATGCACAATTTACCATTATTTTTTCCATCTTAAGTTACCTACATGTTCTGTACATCCTATTAAGTAACACTGGCCCAAGAAAAACGTTTTAAAGAATCAGGTCAATATTTGCATAGAAGAAAAAAAATCAGGTGAGGCCTGATATGTAATTCCTGTATTCACATATATCCATAAACCTATCTACAACCCTCTCAATCATTCTGAACTTCATCTTTTCTGGAACTGCTTTAATCTAGCTTTAGATTTCAAGGCCATTTAGGGTCTTCCCTGGTGGTCCAGAGGCTGACTCTGCACTCTCAATGCAGGGGGACTGGGTTCAAACCCTAGTCATGGAACTAGATCCCACATGCCGCAACTAACAGAACGCATGTGGCAACTAAAGATCCTGCATGCCATGATGAAGACCTAAGATCCTGTGTGCCAAAAATAAACCAAATAAGCAATAAATAAAATAGACCTGGTGCAGCCAAATAAATAAACAAAACTAAATATTAAAACATTAAAAACACTTTATATATTATTTAATTCAACCCCCGTAAAACAT